CTACATCCACGAAACAATCCTGAGGTTCAAAGGCCCCACGTTGGGTTCGTAGTTTCCCCAAACAGGAGGGAAACTGACAACTTCTGGGAAGGCTGCTCCAAACTTGGGCAAGTTCTGTGTTGCTGGCCAGCGCTTCTTGCCCAACGCAATAATGTCAAAGGGCTCGGCACTTAGTGGGACATCAGGCTTTGTGGTGAAGCGCTAGGAAAAATAAACTTACTTCAGAATCAAAGAATAAATCTTGGTATCTGGCTCACTCATATCAGACTCAACCACATCGTCCGCCAACGTGATCGACATTGCCATCGATCGTGACAAGTTCAAGTCGAGCCAGCACTCTGCGCTGCAGAAGGCGGGCTGGCATTTGCAACGCCACTCTGAGGGGCAAAATGGACAACTACTTAAGGTGATTGAGCTAGCTGGCTTTCATCATGTGAAAGCACAAAGGAGACAAAGGTTGTGCGACAACCTAATGTGAAAGCACAAAGATTAAACAAAGGTCGTACAACAACCTAATAAAAATCCACAAACATCACACATTACCCCTGTAAAACGACAGGATGGCCCGAATGCATTTTTCCAAAATATGCGTGGGGCGCCAAATGCGCACCATGATCAGCAGTCTGATTGATCATTATGAAGACACAAGACTTGGGCGTACAAGACCCCAGTAGTGACTACATCTACTCGGTGGGTCTTCTTTGCACCTTTGATGCATCAATTATTCCTAGCCAGGAACACAACATATGAATGACTGGTTGTGTTTCCATCGCCCGGATGGAAAGAAAATTTCCTCAAAGGGTTTTAAAGTTGAATTCGGGAGAGACATATCGGAAAGCTGTGCCAGTCCTTCATTGAGATAGACTCTAGCTGTCTTGGCTGCGGCCCAGCGGCCTTGCACTAAAAGACAATCAAAAGACCCGTGGTGATTGAACCAGAATGTCGCGCCCCCACGCCGCAAACTCTACGGTCTAAAAAGCAAGCGGTCTAACTTCAGTGCCTTCAACCATTGAGCAAATTGGGGCACGCCAGGTATGGGGCTTTGCGGTCAGAAAAGCTGCGGGAGAGACACATTGTTTCCACTTCCAAAGGCTAGGGAGGATGGAGCGCTCATAGGGCGTGACGCTTGTTGGGCTCCTCCCTTAGTAAGACCCAGGGACAGGACTGCAGGCCCTGTAGCGTTTGCCATGAAGATGTCCTGGGCACGGAGTGTGAGCAACTCACCAGTTCGCAGCAGCCCAAAAACCCCACGCGAAGAGAGAGGCCAAACTCGGGCATATCTTTGAGAACGGACCATCCACACACGCCACCTATAGCGCTTGTTGAGCCAGTCAAACGACGTATTATTGGCGACAGACTTGCTATCGCCGGAGGCCCGCGAGAACTCCAGGTAGTCGCTGACCAAGGTGTCCATGAGAATGCTTTTTGGGAGAACGAGACCCTCCCCTGCCATCCAGTCGAAGAACTTATCCAAGCATTCCTGATAACGAGCACGCGTTCGCGGCTGCACAGTGAGACCTTTCAACGAACCACGCTTAATTCGCACCTTCTTTTGCTCTTGCTTGCTTAACAATGTCTTGCGGATGGGACGGCACGATGGCCGATCAGCTGGGTTCTGGTGCGCGTCCACATAGGACCATGCACCAGTCATTCCACTTGCAAGCAAAAGCGCTCCAATGCGACACAAGGTTCGTCGTAACTTCCGGCTTGATGAGGGTCCCCTGGCCAACGCGTGTAGCGCAACCAAGGAGCCCACCAGATGTAGAAATCTCACAGGCCCCTGTTGCAGTTCTTTAACCCAACAATGTTTTTACGGCGCGCAGCTCAGCTCAAGGGAGTTGATGTGTTCAGGATCGCCAGTCCATTTCCAACCAGCCACTTCGCGCCAACGCCACAACGTTGCTGGGATCGAAGCACGCAGGCGATGGTATCGAGGAGGAATGTCACTGCCGTGTTGAACCGTGTTGAAGCAAAATGTTCTCGCCTTCTATGGATACCTGCCCCAGCAGCTTGCGCACCAAGTGGCCGTTGTCCAATCCCTACCTGTGAAGGTCTTTCTCAACGGAGTCGCAACAGCAGGCTTGGGAGGAGATCTCCCTTGCCAGGAACCAGACGGTCCACCAGGTCCTGAACGCTCAACTGAGCCACCATGCCTAAGGCGCGAAGGAGGGAGTAGAGCAGGTAGCAAACGACTGGGGTGGCCCAACTGTTCCCTATAGCAAGCTCAACCGACAATCGTTGCGCTGCACTGTTCCTTCCATGCTGTTGGCCACGCAACGCCGAGTGTAACCTAAGGGGAAACCCACGATAATTCACGCTCCGACACGGAGGGCGCGCGAAGTGCCTGACGATGATTGCCAACACAGTTTTCCGCGCGGTGCTGATAAGGAGGGAACGGATGGGAGTCTGACTTCCAACGATCGACTGCATCTGGAGGGCAAAGTTCCAAGCCAGGGCGCCGCCCCGGGAGTGTGGGAAAACGGGCGTCAAGCGTGCACTTCTTCCAACCCGGCTCCAGGTAGTCATTCTCATCCAAGGTGCCGCCACAGAGCTCGACACGGCCTGGGAGACGATGACTGCCTCCCTTCAACACTCGCGTCCCGTCTAGTTCCAGCGGATCCCACTGACCCAGTACAGCCATGGGCGTCGCGCTGAGCTAACTCCACCGGCATCAATTTCCCAAGGGTTCCAAGGGTCAGTTCCGAAAGCCTTTCTGCAACAAACCACTATCTACCAATACCTCCTGAAGTCTCTCAAGGATGTTCTTCTTGACCTTATTGCAACGCAGCTTTTCTGGCGATGTGACACCGTCACAGTACGGCGCGTGGGGTCCCGCCCAGCCTTTGCTTGGAGTGGAGTGGAAAAATTCCCGTGGACTGACTGCAAGGCAGAACGCAGCTGAAGACCTTTTGAATGAGTGCAAAACAGAGGGATTGAGGACACTGATCTGGGCAACTGTACTCAACTCTTGCCAGAGTACTAACCCCTTTCAGCTGTTGGGTTGCGTACATAGCAATCAGGGGGCTCAACTGTTCCTTCGACGCTGATTGGAGTTCTCCTCGAGACGAAAGCAAGTGCTCCCGCGTTGTCTCTATGGCCTGAGCAGTGAGCGCCCCCGGGCAGCGTTCGCTCAACCTCCTCAGTCTGCGCGCCTCGTCAAACAACGGCCCTTCATCTTCCGAGTTCGTCTCATTGTAGTCCATGAGGAGGACGAACCGTCAGAACCTGAGCTGCTGGAACGCTCGCGTTTCTTCTCCATCTTCTTTCCCACCTTTCAAGCTTGGTTGATCAAGCGCCTGCGCCTGGGCACGTTGGGGTCCAGGCACATATTGGAAAAGAGAGCCCTTGCACTCTTCTGCCCTCGCTCCAACTCTTCTGAAGCCTCTAGTTTACTCTTTCTCAACCGCGCGCTCCTTTTTCCTTTTCTTGCCCTTCTTCTTGGATTCTCTCTCAACCAGCTCTTTGTCGGCCTTTTTGTCAGACTCTTTCGGAGGCACTACACCTCCCCTGCCTTTGCCAACTCGTCCACCTCCTCTACCGGCGTCTTCGTGACTTGCACCAAATTGGAATGCCTAGGTCCCACATAGTTGAAAATACATTGTCCCCTCAGCGGCATTGAGGGAGGTCACCCGTCCAGTCACCTGTACCTCACCACCATAGTACCCAGCATCTTGCAGTTCAATGACCTTTGATTAATGACTTCACATCTCCAATCCCCAAGTCTTTCCACTCTTTGTAACTTGTATCAACGTCTGCTGTCTCTGCGCGCGCTGGCCTGCGACGAACACTCCTCACCTTGGCCAGAGCGGCCGCTGGGCGCCGAATTCGAGGCGGCATCCCTTCTTTACCAACGTCCTCTGCAACCTCTACGGTCGTGATACTCCTGTTTCACTCTTTTTGTGATGCCTTTGTTGGCCACTTCTGATCCCCAGCGGGGATGTGAGGATCTTGGGATCCTTCCACGCCAGCCTTTTCCTTGTTCCACACGCGGTTTCGGCGCTGGCGGAGGTTCAGGTGGGGTATGAGGCGACCTCGCCTTCTGACTTGGCTTGGGTCTGAGATTCCCAACACGCTCAGCTTTGTCTCGCTTTGGCGTCTCGTCAACCTCTGCTTCTGCCTTGCCGGAATGGGAGATAGCCGTCTCCCTTTTCAACCTTCGAACCTCGGAGCCACTCACTGTCGAAGATCGGGACCTCTTGCGCCTCTTTCTTTTCTTCTCCTTATCCTGACGTCTCTTCTCTGAGCGGGACCTCCTTTTCAACTCTCTGCTCTCCTCTCGTCTGTTGGGGACTGTCTTCTTCTCTTCCGTCTCAGTCGGCCTGGACTTCTTCTCCTTCCCTCGCCTCTGAAGATCCTCTTGTGGCCTCCTTCTCTGTCTCGACCTCCTCAAGCTTGGGAGTTCCTTCTCCCTTTCCACGCCTGGGAGCCTGGGAGCTGATGACACTCCCTTACTGGCTGCAACTCTGACAGCAAGGATCTGCTGGAACGCGGAGTCCAAGGCCAGGATGACGGTGCCCTCGCTCTCCAACGGCAAGGCCTTTTCGGTGGCCGCGCTCCACAACCGGTTCGCTGACTGGCAAGCCGAGCAAAGCTTGCTTCTCAACGGCCAATGCTTGCAGACCTTGCAAACACTGGGAGACTGATCTCCCATAAGCCGTCTTGAGCCCGATGCTACGAGGAAAACGACTGAATTCGTTTTTATATAGACATGTGGACATAAATCCATGTATTCACTTGCAAGCATTGCTCATTGTTTTATATCTGTTGGACCCCTGAAAAATGTACAATTTCGAGGAGGTCGAAAAATATATCCAACGATGCTTGCAAATTGCGAGTAAGACATAACTGAACAAAACAAACAATGTATCAACGGGTGCAAAAATAGATACTTCTTTCACCCTCTTTCTGAGAGCCACTGGTGCGGGCGGCTGTCGTCACGAAGCGACCTGAATAACTGGTCAGTTGCATCATTGCACTGATTTGTTTGGTCAAAACTTCTGAACGAACCTGCTTGGTCAAAAAGAAAGTCTGGATGGGCGGAGGAATACGGAGAAGTTCAAGCCGCCCCCTTGGCCTCTTCCTTAACCGCAGTGTGCTCCGGACCTGCCTGAAACGCACAGCAAACATGCTTCACTTCTAGAGGTCCGACTTCCATTCGATTGCAAGTGGTATTTCAAACTCCGCCATCTAACGCCATATCCAACATCCAACTCCCGCCGTGCAACGCCTCAAGGTCGTCACCCTTCAGCCGTGCCTCGAAACGAGTCGAGGGAAGTCGGAGGAAGTCGGACAAGTTGTGCTCGTCATCTTTTCACTCTTTCTTTCTTTTCATTTCCATTTACAAACAAACAGAAACAGAACAAAGAGTAAACCTCACCAAACTCCAAGTGGCCACCACTTTCTCAAACTCCTCCTGTGGCAGCATGTGTGCCAGCTTCTTGCGTGCACGCTGGCAAACACGCCTGTCATGAATGTGACGGTCCTCGTGAAATGCTTAAACAAATAACCTGAAGAAAGCCCCTCTTTTCTTCGGCACTACAAAGGATCCGACAGAAAAATACGGATTTTGGATGTAAATGCTTTGCTGCGGAAACGACGCATATCCACCACCTGAACCTCAAGTTCGTGAAAACCCTACTTCAACCATACAGTCGGTATCATATTGTTATATATTGTTTCTAAAAAGAAAAAAAGCGTATCAAAAAACTTTCAATTGCAACATTCCAATGCTCAGTCGCTCCACCTTCTGATGCGCTTAGCGCCTCTTCAGAGCTTTGCAAGGAGCCGCCGCCTTCGCCTCCAGCGTCGACGCCACAAGCTCCTCAAACCGGCTTTGCTGCAAAAAGGGCCTGTGTGGGCCATACAAACGACAAAAGCACCCGGAAAAAGCAGCGGCCGGCTTGAGGCCCTCGGTTTCCACCTAGAGGGCCAATCTTTAGAATTCCGACTTCAGTGCACCTGATCGTGGTCGTTCTGCTGAGGCACCAAACCAACCAAAATTTTGGAAAGAGCCCTTTCCACCATTGATGCAATATAATGAATTATAATGACATATAATGTAGTATGTCACAAGAAATGTGTGAAATCCAATTGAAGTTACCTTCCTGTCGACTCTACTACTAGTACTTAAGCGACCAGAAAACCTGAAGAGAGTCTTTGGCCAAGGGAAAACGCAACAAAACATTAGAATCCACCATCGTGACTGTAGCTGAACTTCCATTTTGATGACAAAATTAGATTACACCAGTTTCTGCGTGCTCTTTGCCGCACTTTGCCTCAGAATCCGCAGCCCCGTCCTCAACCTTTCGTTGCACGCGATTCTTGCCGGCCATCATCTTGGATTTTAGAACACGCAAGGAGAAAGCGAAGCATAGCGAAGCGAGCATCTGAGGTTCGAATCTGTGGGATGCATTCGTCTGCGTCCTCTTAGTGCTCACGGCAGTGCTGAACTCAGGCCCACACTCCAGTCGGTGGTAAGCGGGAGGTAGGACTAAGCACAAGAACAAAGCACCACCAGATGTTTCAACGTAAAGAAGTGTGGACAGTCAATGGAACGTGTCAGCAAAATGCTCTCATGGACCGGTTAGGGCCATGCCAATTGCAGGCAAGTCTTTTGTGGTGCTCTGTTCAACGCTTGGAACAAATGGCTGCAATTCACAGGTGTGCTCACCATCCCCATCGCCCTTTTGAAATCACGTTTCTGTTCACGTTCGACATTTGTGACGACACGTAATGACTGCCTTTAAACCTTAATCCAAGCAAACCACACACCATACGTTGATTTGGTCATACTGAAACCAAAAGCACGATCCAGTCCACCGCAGCACCGCCTTCGCGATAAGCCGATTGGAGCCTCTCTTTTCTTCTCGTCTGAACCCGTCTGGGCCCGTCAGGTCTTCAGGTCCAGCTCGTCCACCCTCGGAGTTGGCATTGACTGCACTCCTTCACCGTCTTGCACTAGGATGTTGAAAGGGTATAGATGGAGAACGGAGATGGTATGGTTGAACTGCGGTTGAATGGTTCACAAATGGCTGATGAGATCTCTCAGACTGAGCCTTCAAACCCTTCCATGTACACGTCCACCTTGTTCGACCACATCTACAGAGAAGCTAAGGTCCAGAAGCTCAACCGTTGACCGGTGACCACATGCAACTTCTTTATGATTGGTTACCCGGATTTGACGTTTACCTCTCGCATCCTCCGTTTATCGCACGTGAAGAATGTCCGATCCGTTTGTGGCTGCGAGCGCCGAATCCCCCAAACCGGTGCTGCTGCCGCTTCACCATTCACCGACCCCATCTTCCGCGGCGTTCATTCAGCCGAGAAGACGATTCCAACAGCTGTGTGGCCACATCGAAGCGGTCCGCCTGCATAAGCTTAAGTGTGACATCCGGAAACAACATGTTCCATCTTGGGCAGTGGACCCAATCCGAAATTCCGACTTTGAACAGTCCCGAAAGTTCCAATTCGAAAGTTCTACACAGCTCTTTCCTTAGTTTTCTGCATTTTTGTGTGCACGTCTTTTGCATTTCTGGTTGCATAACTTTGTGTATTTGTTTCACGTTCAATCGCACATCGACATGGGCCAGCTCGACGAAACAGGTACAATTCATAACTATGTCGAGTCGGCATCGTTTGGCCCTCTCTGCGTCGACCATCGAAGTTTCTGTCGCCTTTTCACAGGCATCCACTGCAAATGAATAACTCACAATGGTGGGGAGCAGCAGCTCATCTGACATGTCCCTGGCACCGCGAACGGCGAAGCAAATGCCTAGCAAACAGCAGTGCAACATACTGTAGTGCAATGACAGGTAAACCGATGTCAACCGGAAACCAATTAGATTTGGATGTGCGAGAGGAGCTGCATGGTGCTCTTGGTAGCATTGTATAGCATTGTGTTAATATACATTTAAGCAGCTTGGCTTGCAACATCCAGGGGGACCTGAGTTTTGGATAGCATGATATTCCCGCTTCAATCAACTCTCCTGGGGAGTCCAACATGATTTCTTGAGACCATCTCGGGTGAAGGACAGTTGGGTGTGCCCACTGTGAAGCCACGGTTATGCGCCCAGATGGTCAATCCTGACCAAATTTGATTCTATGTCTCATCGGAGCGCAACCAACCTGTTGGAAAACGACCGACCCCGGCAGTCCCTCCCCTTCAAGCCTTATCAAGGACTGCGCTAGCTCCCAGCGCTTCCCCCGACCTTGGACCGAACCTAGGGACCTAGCACAGTCATTTGCTTGGGCGAGCCAGTTTGGGAAAGGGTAGGATGCCGCACAGCGCATCAAAACTTATTGAATTCAAAACATGTGGAGGCCATCGCTCTTAGGATGGAGGCCATCGCTATTAGAACAAAGAGAATGGAAAAGAAAGAAAGGATAGACAGGCCTAAAAATGTAGTTTGCTACTAGGTTGGAGGCCATCACTACTAGGTTGAAGGCCATTGCTACTAGGTTGGAGGCCATCGCTATTAGAAACAAAAAGAAAAGACAGAAAGGGTAGAAAGGTCTATAAAATAGTTTGCTACTAGGTTGGAGGGCCATCGCTACTAGGTTGGAGGCCATTGCTGCTAGGTTGGAGGCCA